GTTTCAGATGTGGACAAATAAAAAGACACAGCTCATTTGGTTGGCCTGTTTACTTCACACAAATAACACACAAGTCATTTGTTAACTCTCATGTTGTCTCTCACATGCGGTGGTGTCACTACGTCTACATGACAATGACGACTTCTACACAATTCGAGTGTTTGTTAATCAAACTCCTCACGATCCAGAAATCCTATGAGTTTGAGAAATGTATACTTTACATAATTCTAATTCTCAATTTTACTATAATTCAGAGGGATATACTTTTTTTCTTATGAGATGCATTAAATTGTTATTGATTCCACTACACAATATGTTTCACAGTGTGGAGAGAGGCCACTTGCCTGCACACTGGACGGTACGGTTCATGCAGCAACGCAAGGACACACACTCACACGCACACTGTGTCTCTGTAAACCACTGTGCATCTGCTGGAGAGGAACATCCTGCCCCACACAGACGAGCAGGCTCGTCTGTCACATCCAAAACCCACGTCTGAGCCACAGGAAACACAAAACGACACATGACACAAACGCACGCACGCACAGGTAAAACAAAAATGGTGATGGGGAACAGCACTCTGACACACTAACTGCAACTCTGCAAAGCGTGTGCTATAACCGTGCATTTTGCACGGCGGCGGCAACCGTCGAATAGTTGGGTAGAAAAACGACGCTTGCAACCTCGCAGCATCCCACCTGTGTTTGCTGAAAAAGATCCCGATGATGCACTGAGGACAATGGGATCGGTCGGGTTGGAGAGACCTCTGCTCTCTAATCTGGTCTGGCTAGGGCTGAGCAGTGTGTGTGTGTGTGTGTGCGTGCGTGCGTGCGTTGGGTATTGGGGCGTTTGGGGTAGCTGAGGTCTCGGGTTTACGGGTGCTTTTATGTGAGGCTGCAGAACTTCATCCTCCAGCTGCTCTGTGATGATGTGGTGCCTTTGTGTACCTCAAAGCTCGGTGTAAATTTACCACTCTGGTGAAGACGAGTGGTTCATAAAACACACGCGATAAGCATTTTTGAACCAAAAGATGATAAAACCAGCGGGCGCCCCGTGTTTGGTTTGTTTTATCGCGGATCACCATGAGTGGGTTTACCAAAACACTTGAAAGCACGGTTGTTGTGTATGTAAAACATGGTAAATTCCAGTTTACTGAATCTACACAGTTGAAATTATTATAATATACTTTTCTATAAAATGACATGAACACCGTTGACTAAGGTAAGATAAACTATTAAATAAAAATAAATAAATACATGTGCCACTGCTTTCTCAACTTGCTATGAGTAATACTTTTAAGTTACAAAGACAAATAATTATTATCTAAAATACAGTGAAATTAAGTTGAACCAGCTTGGAGGTTTTTGCAATGTGGTTCGTTTTCTCATGTGTCTATCTAATATGTATATTATGTCCAGCTTCCGCTGGAATGCCTCAATTTAAATATTGAAATCATTACGATTGCAGACTTATTTATTTAGCGCTGAACAGGAAGCATATGACTGCCGTGAATTGTCGAATGAGCCCCAGAGAGCTCACTGCCTGCGGTTGTTGAAGCTTTTCAATCGACCATGCTGTGAAGGAAGCTGGATGCTCGGTCTCTGTGTTGGCACAGTTTCTGAATAACAGGAAGAACTTGGGGTGAAGTGGGTGGGACGGCGGCTTCACTACCTACAAACGTGGTGAATTCGCGGCAGCTGAACGCCGACGGGTCCCTTCGTGGAGCTTCAGTGGGGCCCCGCCGCAGGTCACTGCTCAACCCCCCGGGGAGCTCCGGCTCCCCTCGTCTCCGCGTGGTCACCACAGTCAAGTCTCTACGTCTGCTGGAGCCAATAAATAAATAAGTAATGGAGCCGGCGGTCCCTTCCCGACCGTGATGCCGGGCGCTAAAAGCACCGCTTACAATGACGACGACAACAACAACAACAGCATGCAGATGTAGACGCATGCACACACAAACGTCAATGCTGAGCTGCTAACAGTGTATTCATTCCTCGTGCAGCTGCAAGAAGTAACCAGTTTAAATGTGACGAGCTGGATATTTTTACACATTTTACGTATCAGCTTTTAAAAAAATGTTTATTTGTGGTGGTGCTTCTAAAAACCGAATTAGCTTGAGGAGTCTTCAACGTGTCCCGCATAGACGTAGAAGGGGGCAGTGAAAGCGGACAGGGCCATCAGTCAACGGAACGAGCGGCGTAATATGATTACTGGATAAAACGGGCCGGATGAGGTGCGAGTGAGCAGGTAGGACTTTGGGCCCGCGTGAAAAAAAAGAAGAAGAAGGGAACGGCCGAATCCCAGGGCCCGTCCCCGAGGCTGGCAGGACCACGGTGTTTGATGCAATGACGGCCACTTCATTATAAAAGCCTCCTCAAGTCCCACGCTGCATTCCACGTTTATAGGGAACACATGGGGAAGCCTGCAATTTTTAGACCACAAAATAAGCCCCTTTGCAGCTGGACGCGCGACCGCACCGGGTCCTTTTTGCCTCGCGAGCCACACCCGAGAGGCGTAGGACCACTGACAGTGATTAAACCACCACAGTTTTCTCAGCAAAACAGGAGTTATATTAAGCTTAAATACAGGGGCTTGATAAACAAGGCCTGGGCAGGGGAACAAAAAATAAAAAAGAATTGAGTGAAAGACGGCCACAATGATCTTCAGACTATTTTCCCCTCACGGTCGTTGGCAGTGCAAAGCCGTGAGATAGATTTCAAAACATGAAGCAGATGTTTACCTTGACAAAGGAGAAAAGGACGCAGAAAAATGTCCTGCTTCGGTGCACCGCTTTCTTCAAATGTCAAGTTTGGGCTACACAATGGAGCCAATTGCCATTCTTGCCCAATGCTGCGGGACGGTCCTCTATTTGTTTAGCTTTTCTCCAGTCCTCATTGAAAATACAGACGCAACGTCTCCCACCGCAAATGGACAAAAATAAGGAAATGGACAATAATCCGAAACAGTCTGCACTTGTGAAAACAGCGAGCGGAGAAGTACACCACGCTGAAATAAGATCGGAAAAACAAAACAACGTGAATTATTACCGACAACATGTCACACTAGCACAAACGTGTGCACGTAGAAAAAAAGCAAAGAAAATGCAAACTGTTCCGAGCTAAACCAAAAACAGGCCCCTGCGATGTGAAGGCAGCGCGGCCTCCAAGAGCAGCCGACCGGAGGGAAACGTCTGGCAAAAAGGCTCCGCCGCCGAGTCCCCCGAGTGACAGCAGCGGGCCTCCCTCGGTCACACAGCTGTAATCCGTCCCCGGGGCTGGCGGAGCCGGGGGGGTGTGGGGGGAGGGGGAGGGTGCCGAGGTCATGTCGGGTAGGTGTGAGGAGAGGAAGCCTCGGCGTCTGTGAGGTTACGTTCGGAGGCCTGCAGCGGCCGCGCGGACCGGACTGATAAAAGCTGCGGGGCCGCGGCTGTGGCCTCGGCGTTCGGCCGCACTCGCCGACCCGCCGTGTCATTTGGGCCGCGCTGCCGCCTAGCCGAGCGGCAACTGCTCATTTACAGGGCAGTGCGGCCTACCGGCAAACTCTCTCCCTCACACACACACACACTCAGAACATGGTACTGTATATACACATACAAACACGCGCTGTGGTCCGCGCAGTCCGGCAATTAGCACGGGTTAACGTGGGCTGACATCCACACACAAAGGAGTTTGGAGCAGCAGCGGGATCGAAAAGAGCACACAACATCTCACACACACACCCACACACGTACACAGGTTTCTATGGAGAGCTTTCGGGTCACATGTGGGACCAGACGGTGGTTTGGGTCGGTTGGTCCCGTGGCCAGACATGGTCAGCGTGTCACTGAGAGAGACGGGAGAAAGGAGAGAGGAAGTGTGGATACCACAGGTTTGCACATGCCAGTGATTTGTGTACTAACACACACACACACACACACAGTCACACACACAGACTGGCAGAAAATGTGCTGCAAGATTGTCAAATTATCAGCACCACAGCATAACAATTTGTCTTACTCAGTTCTGTTCTTCAGCTCAGTTCTTCAGAATCTGAAGTAACATGAATCACTTCCTGTTTTTCTCACAACTGCAGGAGAAACTTATCAAATAAATAGAATCAAAAGTAAAGAAAAAAAAGAAAGAGCAGTAATGGCCTAACCCAGAAAAGTGTGTGAACCACAATCAGGTTAAATCACTTGTGGAGGGAAAACACTACACGAAACACTGTGCTTTTCTTTGCCTTTTTTCTCAAATCAAAATGACCGTTCAAAATGAAATGTTTCCAAGCACAGCTAACTGAACTGTGTGTGTATATTAAATATAGAGGACAATATTGCTCAAAAGACCAACGTCAGCAACCGACAGTGCTGCTTCTAACGAGGCAGCGGTCTCGGTACCATCGGGCGGCGAGGGGAGGGCCCAAACCACCGATTCCTACCAACACAAACGAGATGTGAGTCAGACCAACGATAAAACCATGGCAGGGGACGAGACGCTCGGGGAGGTTCAGCAGTTACCCCCAAACTCCACGGCCATCCGTCAATTTCTCCCCTTCTGATTCACTGCCGCTCTTTCCCCTCTTTTTAGGAGTTTTTTGGCTCAGAAAACCTTCTGGGAGCCGCAGCCCGGTTTGAACTCAAAAGAAAAATAGAATGTTTCCAAAAAGACCCGGGCGACCAATGAGAAGAACGAGCGAAGACGCGCGAGTCAGGGAGGGAGAAGCATGGAAAGCAGAGAAAATAAAAATGCATAAAGAAAAGACGATAGGAGTGGGAGGGAGGGCGGAGGGGGTGGGAGGGAGAGGCCACGGTGACCTCACGTGACGCGTGCTCCACCACTCACGGAGGGGAGTGTGTGTGTGTCTCTGAGTGGAGGATGGCGAGGAGGATGCAGATACACTGTGGCTTTTTTAGCCTTTTACTAGCATCCACGCTGCAGTCGGGCCACCGCCGAGAACAGAGACAGACAGACCACGCTATCCAGCTAGCCGGCTAACCTCAGACCCCTCGGCTCGCCGTGTGACTGAGGACCGCAAGCCCGGGCCCTCCTCCGCCCCCCACCCCCACCCTCCGTTTCCACCCACCACCCTGGGCCCCCTTCAGCCTCGGACCCCCACCCCACCCCCCCCACCCACTCCTCTCATCTCCAGTGCCGGTGAGTCCACCACCTCCACACCTGGAGACCCTGTTGCTGCTGTTTGCTTCCGATGAATCTGTTTCACTCGCTCTCTCTCTCTCTGAAGTGCCATCTCTCAGAGTTTCTTCCCTTCTTTCCACCTCTCTCACACGCTGCTGCTGTTAACACGAGCTGCTGCTGCTGCTCTCTGCAGACTTGTGGCTTGGGATTCCTGCGGTGGCCACAAACCCTAGATTCTTGGTTGCAAAAGGGCTCCGAGCTGCAGGAGTTTTGTCCTCTCCTCTCCTCACTTCTCTCTCTGACTCGCACTCGCTCACTTGTGCTTTTTTGACTTTTGATTTTTTTTTTTTTCAATTTTATCCCCTCCAAGGTCGGTTGGAATCGCACGCAGCAACGGGCGCTGTCCCCCGCTGTTCTGGGGTCCCCCGTCATGGCATCAAACAGCATCTTTGACTCTTTCTCCAACTACAGCAGCAGTCTACTCAGAGGTGAGCGCTGATCCTCCCCTCTACCCCCCCCCCCCCCCCCGCACTTCTTGCTCCGTCCCTCCCGTTAAACTACCCCATGTTGGCCAATTTTTTTTGAAGGTTTTTTTTTTGAAATAATTTTTTTTTTTGGCCAAAAAAAAAAAAAAAACATCCCAGGCGATTTTTCAAAGCGTTTGTTTCTCTTTCCACACACACACACACACACACAGACACGCTTATATGAGTTGACTCATATTGGAGTCCTGTGTTTTCTGTAGGCTTGATGGGAGTAGCGCCGTAATGGGATTCTCACCACAGACGTTCATTATCAAGAGAAACTCTCTGTGAGAATCCGAGCTCAGAGGCTCCATGTGACCGGGCCCTTTACCGGAACGCGGCAACGCGATAAAAGAGAAAAAGAAACAAACATATTAGGCTCTCTCACTGCTTTACTTCCACGAGGTACTTTTGGTCTGTGTGGTGAAGTGAGTGCACTAAGCTTGGCGACGCTCAACGCCAGCCTCAACAAGGAAACCATTTGTTGCCATGGCAACTCCAATCAGACAGCTTTCACTTGCAAATAGTGTGGTTGAAACGTCTACCTGATTCTGACTGCAATACTTTTGTTTATTTGCATTTCGTTTTATTTCTGACGAATGATGACGAACACAAAAAAGGCGAAGTGGTCTCAAGTCCCGGGCTTGTTAATGCCGGCCAGGGGGGACTCCGTTGTTACCACGGTGACAGCCGCCAAAAGGCAGCAGCAAAAAAACTAAATCTCCTTCCCAATTAAGGCCATGTTGCAGTGTTAATTAGAGGCAGCCAAAGGAGAAGCACTACCAGCTCCTAATTGTTTGCAGCAGAGTGTATCTTAAAATCTCTGGAGCCTCACACGCGTACAGACACACACACACACACACACACACACACACACACACACACACACACACGCGCGGTACATCTGTGCCTCACATGTGAACAATCCTCTGATAGCCTCAGCGGAACCGCAGTGACAGGGGATGATGTTCCAGTGTACTCACTGCTTCTACAGACACCCGGGCATTTAGAGTTTCCTCCTGACAAGACAGGCCCTTTGCCCCCATTTTCTCCTCCAGACCCGCCGGATCTGCATCCCGTTATCTCCTCACTGTTTGCAGATCAGCGTGTGACTTCAGGATTCTCGGCTTTGGAGCCGTTCTAACGCGTTGTGCTCTCAGGGCGCCTGATTTTGATTTTTAAGCCTATAGCCAGAGCAGCGAGACGGGCTGTGAGACAGTAGGTCAAGGCGGTGGGAGGGGGGGGGGGCATTTAAAGCTGTAATCATCCATTGGATATCATTAGTGAATATGCAATATGCAGTCGGGAGACTGAAACCGAACTGCAGGAGAACAAAGGCCAAAAGTCATTTAAAAGAGCCGGTTCAATCTGAAAGCATTTCTAATCGGGACCACCACATGTAAGCGAAATACCCCAGCGGTGAGTCTAACAACTTGCATTACACAGGCGAAGCAGTTTGGCAAGTTCTCTTTTTTTTTTTTTTCGACCCAAATCAAACTGAATTTAAGAGGAAACTGCTAGAAAAAAAAATCAAGGAGGTTGTTAAATGTCTGGCGTCCGGAGCTCTGATTTTAATGCAGTGAGACATGAGGCCGGTGGAAATAATGTATCATCTATTCAGAGGTAGGAAATATTGATGTAAGCAACAATTGAAAAATCACACAAAAAGGAAATAGGCTGAAGTCCTTTACTTTCAAAATGTTTGATTCCTCACCCAAATAAAATGATTTAAATCCTTAGAATCATTATTTTTCAGTCCACTAACTTTGAGTTGTTTTGAGAAAAAATATCCCAACAACACAAGCACTATTTGTCTGCGTTGTAGGTTTCATTGACTTTTTTTTTTTTTACATCTCAGCCTCTCTCACGGTGCAGACAGAGAACACATTTCGCGTGAGAAGCGAGAGATCGCCTCACCTCAGAAACCTCAGTCCTATGCTCGAGCTCCAGGAGGGACCCGCACGAGCAGAACATATGACACGTACACGCCGAGCAATAAAAGGAACAGGTGGCGCAGCACGTCGCTGTTACGCCGTCAGGTTCGGCCGAGGGGGAAAAGAGCTAAGCTCAGCTAATATGGCGTTTGGCCTCGGAGAAAGAAAGAAAAACTAAGAGGCGGAGAGCGTCGCGTCGACAAAGCGTTAATCTGATGACTCGCAGTGCTGCTGCAGTTCACTGATAATAACCACAATGGGGCTGTACACCTGCTAACCCTCACACAGCAGCACCGCCATTTAACCATAAAGCAGCATTTCTCTCACACTTTCACACCTACATTTGATTTACTCAACAAAAAAAAAAGAAAAAGACAAGCCAGACGTTCCCCCTGTGAAGCAGAGTTGTATAAACTTTACTGTGTTTCCCGATGCAGGTGGAGTACCTGTAGGTTTGTAGCAGCGGCTCATGTCTTTGGGAGGGCGGTTTTCTACAGGGGTCCATTTTCTTTTGGGGAGGCGGCGTCCTTTTGCGGCCGAGCGAAGGGCTCCTGGTTTATTAGGGTGGGAATGGTTTTAATACGTTTGGCTTTTTGCGCTGCGTGAATGGAAGTGAAGGCTTGTGTGGGACAAAAGGGGCCGCGTCGCCTCGCCGCAGGGGTGGCGGAGGCTATTATTTCGGAGGATTCCGGGAGGTTGGTCTGGTTTGTTCTGCGAGCTTCTAGGAGGGGAGAGAAAGACTTGACGCACAGTTTCGAGAGAAACGCGTGAAGATGAATCATTCATAGGGGGATAAACCTGGAGATGAACTTCAAGCTAATGACCACTGACAAATAAAAAAAAGGCTCTACACAGTAGCTCAGGAAAAGAAAAGGGCGTTGCGTTCTACAGAACACATGGCTGGCCTCCGGTGAATTCATTAATAACATACGGCGGGGAGCCACCCCACTCCCGATTTTTGAATTAACATGCTTGATTGGAGGCCATTTAAAGCCCCGCTGCGTGTGAGGCCTCCTGCACGACGCCAAAACATGAAACCTGGCCGAGCCGGTTGAAATCTGTAACCAGATATTAAGAGTTTCAATATTCTAAAGTGAAAGCAAAATAATAGAAAACTCATGGCAGTCACAGAGCGGTAAAATCCTGTCTCCAATTTAGCAGACTATAATATCTATTTATAAAGCTCGAGGCATATTGGATGTGGGGGGAACCGATCTGGACTTGATTAGGACTGTAAGCGTTTTTGGAGGTACTTATTTACTTTTTGGTCCGTCTCGCCGTTTTCACCGTCTGTCAACACGCCTTCACGGCGAACACTCTCAGGAGTCGCCGCAGTCAGATGGCTTCCAGGTAAGAGCGCGCGGAGGGGCGTGCTGATTATGCGGTCGTCTAATCCCGAACCTGCCTCCGCCCTTTTTTGGCTTGATCTCAGCGGCGCGTTGGTCAAGGTTAAAGTCGCGCTAAGTGTGGCAGTAAATACAATTTTCTGGTGGTCGACAACCAACCACAGCGGCCATATTATTTTCAGCCGATCTGATAATATGGATTTATGCCGTAGGTTTCACTTACACAGTGGGAGCAAGCGGCATCCAGCTAGGAGCACAGTTCATCCAGACTTTAGTCTGAGCCTCAAACCAACTGTGACGTGATTGAACGTGGCGGCTGTGAGAGCGGCGAGCTGTGACTGCGCACTAAAGTCTTCCATGATGATGAAAAGAGAAGCGCTCATGAATAAAACGTGTGAAAGACACAGATGTCCAAATATGATGGAAGTAAGAGGAATTCAAAACGTCTAGACTGGGACGGTGAAAAAAAAAAGAAATCGAAACAGGAACTGGGTACATGCTGGAAGGAAAATACGCAGACCTTTTGAAGAAAAAACGCTTGCACAATTGGATAACGAGGTGGAAATGATCAGAGGATGAAATGGTTTTGCTTGATTTTTCAAAAAAAGTACTGACTGTACCGGACTAGACTCATTCTTCTGCTGTGACTCATTTCTTTATGGTTCATTTGCTCCACTTACGAGCTAATAACATTTCAGAGAAATTAAACCCACGTCACCGTTTCAACATTAGACACTTCATGATCTCGTGCGTCCTGCATGGTGGTCGACTAAATTAAGCATAGGCCTGTCTCGCATTTTTTAGTTTCTTAATTCTGCTAAGCCTAACCCTAAACCACGGGCCAGACCCACGGCCTATTACATGCTAAGGCTGGGGCTACAGACAGAAACAGCATTAATGTAATCTTATTTATGTATTGTTAACCCTAAAGTCACGTTGGTATGTGCAATTTGCTTGCAACTGTTGTCAAAGTTGCAAATAAGTTAAACAATTGAATGTAAAAGCTGGAATAAAAACTTTGTTTTATCACAGGTTTAATTAGATTTACGAACTCTGGCTACAACTAGAGAGAGCTGTGACCCGAGTCAGACAAAGAAGACTTATTGTTTAATACCTCCCGGTATTGTTAACCAGATGTTGTCAACAACATCATCATCTCTGCACTGAGCAAAACTGCCTCTGACTAAGCACAACGTCGATGGCTGTGCACTTTTGTTTTTAACATTACTGTTGCATTCCTAGCCACAAATTGCTTTAATGGGCGGGCACGGGTCTGGTCGGCAGCACATAAAATGACTCAAACTTATTGAGATCCCACATGTTCAGAAACATATCAGCAGACAGCAAACTTTTTTTTAATATCATTTATATTTGAGCTTAGATGGAACACAGAGGGAACAGAGGGTTTTATCGTGTGTGTGAAAGTTTAGTGCAGATCAGAGGAACTCAGTCTGTCACCATGAAAGAATTAAAAGCAATGTTTTCATGGACAAAATATCCTGCTTCCAGACTGAAATTTCACGTCATAATGAGCAACTTTAATCGTGCTCAAAACATCCTTATATATCCCTCTTCCCATAAGCAATAAAGGAAAAAAAAAAAACGTAATTACGGTGGAGGAAAAACGCAGATAATGATAGGACGCGAGAGGCTGCCGGCTATGAAATGTTTTCTGATTCTCGTT